GGTTAAATTTTGGGGCCTTTGCTTTTCATAATTTATATAAATGACCTCCCTCCTACACTAAGGACCTCATCAATACCTATAATATTTGCAGATGACACTAGTGTTATAATTTCTGGTAAAAATTTAGATGATTTCTGCATGTTATCAAGCATGGTTCTTTTGCAAATGAGTGAGTGGTTTTCTGCAAACAAGCTGTCCCTGAACCTAGAAAAAACAAATGTAATAAAATTTATAACAAAAAACTCACCACAATATCCATTAAACATAGGATATAATGATAAATATATAGAAGAGGGAGTAAACACAAAATTCCTTCGCGTGCAAATTGATAATCATTTAAACTGGAAAAACCATATCAATCAGTTGATTCCAAAGCTAAGTATAGCATGTTATGCAGCTAGATTCATGGTACATATTAACAACATTAACACTCTCAAATCAATCTATTTTGCTTACTTCCACTCTTTAAGGAAGTATGGAATAATTTTCTGGGGTAATTCATCTGACAGTAAAAAGGTATTTACATTGCAAAATAAAACTGTTAGAATCATGATGGGTGTCAAATCCCATAATTCCTGTAGACATCTATTTAAGAGACTATAGACCTTAACTTTTCCTTGTGAATATATACATTAATAAACTTCATTACAAATAACGAAGAACATTTTCAGAGAAATGCAAGTGTACATAGTGTTAACACAAGACACAAACAACTGTCTTCATAAACCAACTGCTAACCTCTCATGCTTTCAGAGAAGCACATATTATGGTGGGATCAACATTTATAATAACCTGCCATCTGATCTCAAAGGTCTTATGACTGAAAAGGCACAATTTAAAATAGCACTGAAACGATACTTAACACTTCGCGAACTGGACGCCTAGGCCTAGGCGTTTGGGTTTTAAACGTGGCAGACCAGTCGCCTAGATTTAGGCTTTTAGGACACGTTATGTTGCAACACACTATTCCTCGCTTTGGTGGCCACGTGTCTATAAAAGTACTGCGTAGCTGACCTTCGGAATGTTTGTTTTCCGAGTCAGCAACGTGACAACTCTCTATTCCCATCTCACTCTAAAGAAAAGTTCCTTTGTTCAAGTCGAAGCTTCTTTGTGTGAGGCATGATATTCTCAGTGTCAACACGGCTCAGAGACGAAAGCAGGTGAAGGCCGCGCAAGCTCTCAGAGAAGAAGAAATCTGTGATTTGACCTCCGATGGTTATCTGACTTCCCAACTGCTTCGTCTTCTGATGGTGAGGGCAGTGTCAGTGGCAGTGACAGGGGCCCCCAAAATATTGTGAGCAGAAGAGAAAGTGAAAGTGACAGTGAGAGCTCCGATGAAAGTGCGAGTGCTAGCATTGCGGGGACAGCCACATGCAGTAAAGTGGACAAAACACCCACTTTGGGAAAGTTTACTGGTGATCCAGGGGTGAGACAAATGCTATCAGACCCTACACAAGCGTCTGAACAGGAGGAGGGGGGCCTTTTTCTTCAGTCCTGGAGGGATACTCGCGTTGTGAATATGATTTCCACTATTCACAATTCGAGCATGGTCGATGTTCAAAGACGACACGGGCAAGTGAAGAAGAAGCCTCTTTTGTATTTCTCAGTACAATATGTTCATGAAGAGAGTTGACAGAGCCGACCAATACTTGGCCTATTATTCCCTTCCTAGGAAAACAGTAAAATGGACAAAGAAAGTTGCCTTGCAGCTTATAAATTGTGCCCTTTTCAATTCTTTTTGGTTTTCAAAGAGCAAAACGAAAATTCAACTTTGAAATACAAGGCATTTCTCATGAATGTGGCAAAAGCCTGGGCTACAGACCTCACGGTGGTGGCAGAACCTGTGTCAGACACAGACATAGTATGACCGGGACCATCTAGTCCCACCCCATGGAGGCATCATACGGACCCCCCTGGGCGACTCTCGGGTGATATGTGGATACACACCCTCGTGAAAATTGTGATCAGCGAACAATCGACAGGGAAGTATCCTTCGTGCCGTGTGCGCGCTGTGCACAAGAAGCGAAGCAAGACTTCCTGCGTCTGCAAGTTCTGCGTCATGCCTCTTCACAGAGGGGAAATTTCCAGAAATATCACACTCTGAAGCACCTCTAGGAGCTCTGGTAAGTCTTCTCCAAAAATTTTAGTTCATAAAATCAATTAGGAGATTTTATATTAATTTTTAAAGTGAACAGTGCACAAGTTAGGGTAGTAGGTTTAAAAACGCCGGTCCCCAGGATGATTTAAATATTTAAATCACCGGTCCGTGAAGTGTTAAATACACATTCATTCTACTCTGTTGATGAATACCTATTGTCTAGAAAATAACTTATGTATCTTTAAACAGCCTTGTGTGTAGTCACTGCATATTCTTGGTTTCTCTTGTGTGAGAACTCCATTGGGACTGTACATATGTTTTGTATTTATATGACATATTCCACATCCTACAGTCATTTTGACTAACTTTGGATCCATGGAATGCAATGAAATGCAATGTAATGTAATATAATTCAAGAGAGGATGTAATCCTGATCTACTCCAGTGGTAATGTTGATGTATTCAGTGAGCTTTCTTTCATGCAAAACTTGGCATCTAACCCTCATGCATGTATCTTATAAGACTCAAGATTTTTTATAAAATTCCATACTCTTTAAGGGTTCTCCACAAAACCAGGTTACCCAACAGATTTTTTTTTCAATAGCTCTTCCAGCCCATTCAAGGCCCAGGCCTCTGATCTACTTCTATAATCATTTTTCAGAGATGGTAGAACTCCCTGGGTGAGTGATCAGCCCAACACAAGGTTGCTACCTAAACACAGGACAACACAAATGCAGAATAAATGCATACACACCAAACTTCCATGCCCTGAGTGGGATCTGAACAAACGATCCCAGCCTCTGAGCGAAAGAACACAGTTCATGCCTTAGACCAGTGGTGGCAAACTACGGCCCGCGGGCCAGACGCGGCCCCCTGATAGGTTCTATCTGGCCCGCGAAATGATTCCTAATCTGACGAATGAAAAGAAGAAGAATTAAGGAAAATAAATAATTCTGGATTATTTTCTTCTTCTTTCCTCCCTTTTATGTTTAGCCTAGTGACCACAGATTAATTTATTTACTTATCCGCTATGGGGTATTGGAATGCTATGTTAACATTTGAGAGTGAGGCACTGGCTGCCGGCATTTTTGTAGCGAAGAGTAAAACTGGCAACGGAGCCTCCTCGCTGTACCCCCTCCACATTACATCCACTGCAGCT